TTTTTGCAGACAGGATAAAAGATTGAAGGTATTGCGAGGCCAGCTTATAGGGAATGGTTTAATTGATGTTATCAACAATATGTTGAACCCATCGTGAACTGATGAAGGAAACATAGAGATATCGGAATGTTTTGAAACTAGAATGCATTTCAGGATAGCGGAGGTGAGGAAGGAGGAACCGAAGAACGTGCGTCCTCTCAATCCACCACCGTATTCACCAGAAATACTCAACAATCTTTCGAAATATTCGGTTTGGTCTCTGTCGATGATTGGTCGAGAACTGGTTCAAGAACTCATATTAAGGTGAGTTTACTGATGCATTCAGTGAATATAGTGACAGAATAAATTCAATATTGATCACATTCACTGCATTAACGATGCCTAAATTGAGCTGCTGAGCATTGAATACATTGCTCAGCCGATTTCTACCAGTTGAGTGTTTGCTTTCTCAGTTGAGACGAAATATTTCCGGTTGCTAAGGAAATTCGATTACCTTTAAAATGATTTCAACTGATCACAGTTTAAATGAAATTTGATTTTTTTTNAAATCGAATTCAGAACACAAATGTTGATGAATTTACTGTTCAAACTGATCGATCGGCGTTATCAGCAGCAATCGACCAGCGATCCAGAACAACTGCTCGAGTATTGTCAAATGATTCTGACGAGAATTGTCGAGATTCGATTGCGAATCGATCGTGTCACAGCACATCAAAAGCACATTTCTGAGGATGATTTCATCGCGATGATGTCTGACCCGAGCACCCCACAAAAACCTCCTCAACAGGTCATTCTCATTCAGCACTTCATTTTATCTGCGGCATTCGATCCTTGCCAATGTGCGCATTTCTTTAAACGAAAACGATAGCTTTTACTTTTTTGTCTGAATTTTTGTTAAGAATGGTTTGTGTGAGATGAATGCACTGTGATAAATTTTTGCGATGAATTCAGTGGTGTTCCCCATTACTTGTTGCATTCAACTTACAGGTTCAGAAGGAACAAATCTTTGAAGCACAACGTCATAAATTGGTGAAACTCAGTTCAGCGCTCAAGTCATTCGAATGGATGTGCAGTGTTTCAGATCCGAGACTGCTTAAGAAACCCGAAAAACTTTAGAAATATTGGGTGATCATTATTGTTGTTGTTGTTGATGTCATATGTGATTGTTATTATTATTATTATTGTCGTTGCTTTGCCTGATTATTATTACTGTTATATTTGTACCAAAGCGTGAAATGGATATGCACTCCTCAGACGGTTTCCGTAAAAGAATTTTGATAATTTACAGTTTTAAATCATTTTCCCCTAATAAGTGAAGAGTGTCGTCATTTTGTGCAAACATTCAAGTCTATATTTCCTGGGCACGATTCAATTTTTGTGATATAGCACACAAATATTCAAATAAAATTATATTTCGAATCGGAGCCACCAAAAGATTAGCACATTGAAAACTTAATTATTTAAAACTGTCATAA